AAAAAAAAAAAAAAAAATTGCCCAAAATTTTTCATTCAAATTGTTAGAAAATTTTAACATTTTTAATGTATTTTTCAGTTTAAACAATTTCTTGCATTAATTGTTAATTTCGTAGCAGTTTTTGGAGGCAAATAAATATTGTATCAGATATGAACATATTTTTTTTTTTTTTTCCTTGATATCATCATCTGAAAATTCGTAGTGCAATAACAATCTCGACACACAAATATTTTTCTTTAATATTGTTTTAATATTTAATAATGAATTCTATGATTTTTATTTTCGACAAATTAAAAAATTTCTTGAAAATATGACTCCTTAAAAATAAATTGAATGAAAAGCATTTTAAAGTTATTATCTATCAGCTCTCTTAGTTGCATTTTATGAAATCCTATAAGAAATTGTTATAACAGTAATATTTTTAGTTACTTAATTGATCATTAATACTCAAAACTACAAATGCCGTTTTTTTTATCGTTAAATAAATTTGTATTGATCAAAATTGAAAGTCATACAACCGAGTCGGATTTCAAGAGCGTAGTGGGTAACCACAAGTCGGTTCCTCACTCGCAAACACAAAAATAACGAGAACAATGTTCTCCTCCAACCAAGATCTTCTAAGTGCTCAAGCACTTGGCATCAACCATCTCCAAAAATTATCAAAATTTTATACTTCAACTATTAGGCTTCTTCTCTCAAATTCGGCAAGAACACTCGGAAAAAGAGCAAAAATAGATCGGTAGACGTGGGTCTTTACCTTTCTAATCACAACGCTTGGAGGTTGGGTTTCGCCCTCAAAAATCAATCGGTTTCGCGCATTCCAAATGAAGTAGACGGTGGCCGCAAGCGCCGCTTTCTTCAATTTGGCTCTCCAAGTCGTACCTTTCCCTTCTTTTTTGGTCCATTTGAGGGCACCTTTTGGTTGGCATGTGACGGAGGCTAACCCAAACTCGAATTGCACTCCATATCTCCGAGCTAAAGGGGCACTCGAAGAAGAGGTGGCTCGAGGATTCGTTCGCGGTACCACAAAGGGGGCATGTCGGGTCTTCATTTAGGAACTCCAGACGATCTTTTGTTTGGAGCCTATTCATCACACCAAGCCATAAAATGAAGGAATGCTTGGGGGTATTGCAGCTCCCCCAAACAACCCCGACCCATGGCTTCTCAATACCCTTTGGTCGTAGAAAATCGTAACACTTGCTAGCACCGTCTTGCTTGTTGCGTAAACTCCAAGCACGGAGGAGGGCTTCCGCACCGCGCTCGCTACCCGCCTTTTCAATCAAGCTTTGCCGGATTTCAAAGAGAGATTTAAAGAGAGGGGAGTCATTCTTGGAAACTTGCCAATCCCAAATAGTTTTCTCCTTCAAATAGATGTTGTGGATCCATTTGAACCATAGTGTATCCTTCTTAGCTTGCATATTCCAAAGAGTCCGCATGAGAAGGGCTCGGTTCCAAGCATCCAAGTTACGGAGCCCCAATCCTCCCTCCGCTCGGGGTAGACACAAAGTATCCCATGCAACGGGGGCTTTTTTGGAGCCCCATAAGTACCTCCTACATAGTTGAATGATTTTTGTTCGGATAATTCCCGGCAAGTGGAAGATGCCCATCCAAAAGCAAGCAATGCCTTGAATGACCGATCGAATTAGTTCCAATCTACCGGCATAGGAGAGAGAGTGGCTCCTCCACCCACTAAGTTGGATTTCAATTTGGTTGATCATATCATCAAATAGCCTCCCGGTAATCCGATCCGCGGTGAGGGGGACTCTGAGATAACGGAACGGCATTGGCCCGATTAGCATGCTAGTATCATCAAGGATGGTCTCACGATCACGTTCTTTCATGCCGGCCAAGTAGATGTTGGATTTAAGCACATTCATTTCAAGCCCCGATTTCTCCCCAAAGTCTCTTAAGCATTCCATGAGCACTTTGATTGATCCCGAGTCACCCCGAGAGAGGAGCATGAGGTCATCGGCGATGACTAAGTGAGAGATTTTTAGCTTCTCACACATTGGATGGAATTTAAAGTTCGGGTCCTCCGCCGTATTGCAGTTAATGAGCCTAGAGAGGTATTCCATGCAAAGAACGAAAAGGAAAGGAGAGAGGGGATCACCTTGCCTTAGTCCGCGAGCGCCTTTGAAATGGCCTTTGAGGCAACCGTTGATAGATAAGGAATACGTAGGGGTGGTGACGCACTCCATGATCCACATGATGAAAGCCGGTGGAAAGCCTAAGCCCTCAAGCATTTGCCTCAAGAAGGCCCATGAGACGGAGTCAAATGCTTTGCGGAGGTCAATCTTGATTAAGCATCTCGGAGACACACTTTGCCTCAAATACTTCCGGAGCAATTGTTGCATGAGGTGGATATTGTCCGTCATATTCCTCCCCTTCACAAACGCGGCTTGGGCTTCATCAATAATAAAATCAAGAACTTCACTAATTCTCTTTGCAAGGATTTTTGAGCAAATCTTGTAGACCGTATTGCAACATGCGATTGGCCGGTAGTCCGTGACTCGAGATGAGTGGGAGGACTTCGGGACAAGCGTGATGCCGGTGTGATTCCATTGCTTTAGGATTGATCCGGAGCGAAAGAATTCTTGAATCGCCGCCACAACATCCCCACCTACAATATCCCAAATTTGTAGAAAAAAGGTAGAAGTGTAGCCGTCCGGCCCCGGGGACTTGCCTCCCTCGATGCATCTAAGAGTGAGCTTGATCTCCTCTTCGGTAACCGGGACGATTAGGGCGCAACAATGTTCGGGGCTAAGAGTCGGCCCCGATCTAAGGATTTGAGGTCAATATCCTCCGTTTCTACCCCGGTTCCCAAGAGAGATTCATAGTAACGAATGAATTCCTTGGTCACATCCTCCATGGACTCGGTTGTGGTGCCATTCTCACGCATGATCGATGCAATGTAGTTTCGTTTGGCTCTCTTCTTGACCAAGCTATGGTAGAATTTGGTACATTTGTCTCCTTTAATTTTGAAATCGCATTTCGCTTTTTGTTGGAAAAAAGATTTCTCCGCTTTGGCCAAGTTGAGAGCTTTGAGTCTAAGAGGCCCCAACTTAGACTTGATGTCAAGGTTGTCCGGTTGATCATGTAGCAATTGTTGTGCTTCCTTGAGAGCGGCTTTGGCTTCATTGGCTCGAGTTGAGATATGTGAGAAGGATTTCTCATTGAGTGCCTTGAGTGAGTTTTTGAGGTTTTTTAGATTAGTAGTGAGGCGGAATTGCCTCGATCCCCTACCGACATGGCTCCAAGAGTCGGTAACACACGACAAGAATTTATCATGCATGGTCCACATATTAAAGAAGCGCCAAGGGGATCCCCCATTGGCTCCGGCTTCAAAGATGTTCAAAAGACAATGCGAGTGATCGGAGATGCCCGGGGCAAGAAAGGTGGCATGAGAGAAGAAGTCGGCTTTCACCCATTGTGGATCCATCATGGCTCTATCTAGCTTTGACCAAACGTGACTATTGGTCCAAGTGTGAAAGAAACCACTAGAGGAGATATCCGATAGCCCCAATGAGTCACACATTTCAACAAGGTCCATTGTATCACGGTTAGTAACACGCTCCCCTTTAATTCTTTCCTCCGGCTTAAGTATAGCATTAAAGTCCCCAAGAATCAACCAAGGTAATGTAATTCGACCTCGAGATGCTTTGAGGTCACTCTATAATAGCTTCCGATCACCCTTCGAACGGAGACCATATACAAAGCTAGTAAAGAAGGTAGTATTACTAACCTTGCAATGGATTTTCGTGAGGATGACTTGAGGCAAGGTGCTTTCCACCATGACGTCCACTCTCGCAGGGTTCCAAAGGATGGCAATTCGACCGCGATCAATAGTTTGAAAATTCTCACAAAACTCCCAACCCGGCAACCTCCTATGCATGAAGAGAGAAAGTCGCCTATTGTCGGTTTTTGTCTCTAATAGACTCAAGATGTCTACATTATTCTTCCGGATGAGGTTGGCAACCTCATCTTGTTTTAGGGGCCCGTTAAAGCCCCTAATATTCCAAGAGGCGATAATCATTGTGAAGAGGAGGGGTTGCCCCCTTTCTTCGAATGCGCGCTTTTCCCCGGGTCCTTCCTTGTGCTCGGTTTGTCCATAGACTTTATTGTTTGCTCCCATTGTTGATTGTTGATTGCCGAACAACTTCTTGTGTGGATTTTATTTCTCTTCTCTACCATTTGAAACCCCTCCTCCGTGGATTCCTCCGGGTTGTCTTCTCTTTCGGGCACGGTAGAACTGGTGGCCGAAGAGCTAGCGGTCACTAAGGGGCAAGCATTTTCAACCTTTTTTCCTTGATTTGTGCTCTCATTGATCTCCTTTTCTTTTGTTACTTTTGCCTTCTTCTTCTCGGGGGCATTATCATTAACCCCGACTTTTTTCTCCCATGGTCCTCCGTTGTCATGCTTTTCCAACTCCCCGGTTGCTTTCTTACCCTTTAGGTGGGCCGCATGTTTTCCACAATTGGAGAGGGAGTGGCCAATGTACTTGCAAAAGGAGCAATAGTGGGGGACGTATTTGTAGTCTACCTTTTGCTCGAACAATAATCCTTCCTTGAATTTGACGAGAACACTAAGGGTCCGCTCCTTTGAAAGGTCCAACTCCACCAAAACCCGTGCGTAGTTCCTTCTTGCTCGTGTCGCCGTTAGTTTGTCGGTTGTTATGGGCTTACCGACACAAGAGGCAATTTTTGCTATGGCCTTCGCATTCCAACACTCCCCGGGCAAGAACGGGAGGTTGATCCAAGCGGGAACTACTTTGATGTCATCTTCCCCAAATTGGAACCAATTTGGAAGGTTTTTTAGGATGAGCCCCCTCCCGTAGATGGTGTACGGTCCACCTTGAAGCACTTTGACTCTATCCTCCTCGGTCTTAAATTTGAACACAATCCACCCGTTGACATTTGGGACTATGTCAAAGTCCACCTTCCAAGTCTTACAAAGCTTTAGAAGAGCCTCTTTTCCCGGATGTTTTTGGGTAAAATATCCCACAAGGCAAAAGCCCCATGTTTCGGTGAGCTCAGAAATGTCATCTTCTTCAAGAAAAGCTCCTCCCTCTTTTGGTGGGACATAGTCTAATTTGAGACCAATGGAGGACTTGCGGTTGTCGGCAAAGAGGGCCGAGAAAGGCCTCTTTTGTGTAGTGGCATCCTTTTGTGACTTCACCAAGTTTTCCTTTTCATTTTTCTTTTGGGACATTTCATCAAACACCTTGTGGGTGTTATTTTTGTCTTGACTTGTTGCTAGCTTTTGATTGCCCTTTTCACCCTCCAACATCTCAACATCAAAACCCATGTTAACAAGATCATCAACAAT